TAGAGGGATGTAACAGATGTAAGGTTCTCCCATTGGAATACGAGCATCTGCAGCGATGTAGCCCTCTCTCAAGGAAGTAGGGCTAGGAAAAGTCTACGCTGAAAGAGCCACACCATGGATTTCCGTCTTCGTCTGTAAGGGCCTGTAAAAAGGTCGGAGCTAATACCCGAAAAACATTTCATGAAAAGGTCGCACTCGAGCAGTTGTCCCTCGGATTATGCGGTTACACTTCCAGGTCTGTGAGACCAATGCCGATGTACTTAATTTTTCAGGTTCCTCAGAGATAACTTTCCCACGGTGTGGGCACCCGGGAGGTAACATCCACCCTTATACTCATAAAAGCACGAGAGCGAATTAGTCGACACCGCCTAATAACTCTTTTATCCCTTCGACCAACCCACCTCTCGTCACTTAACCATCGGTACGAGCTTTCGAAGCAGTATCCCTGAAACCGTACCAAATTACATATAGTAGCTTATAAAGTTCGAACCGTCGGCAAACTAGGGCAACAGGCATCATTTGCAAGCACACTGGAATCCAGGCCGATCTGTGTATGTCGCATATTCGAAACGCTCATGCAAAACTCGAGTGAAATCATCAATTTGATCTCACCTAGAGCAGGTAGGGACACAACAAGGTTTACGCTTCGTGTTTTTGGAATCCCTGGCGCCGCTTCTTGTGGCCTTGCTGTCGTAGTTATGGTGTCAATTCCTAGGGCAGATGTAGATCTCCTAGACTGGGTCCCTGTATATAGTCGTTCACGCGCAGTTCGACTAAACAGGACGGTACGGACTTAGAAGGATAGGGCCACTCGCCATTGTCTCCGTCGTATCTGCCTACGCTCCCACTGACTGCGTTTCCGATGGCATGAAAGATAAGTTTTATAGAAACCTCTAAACTTCTCCGAAATCTTAAGCGCTGTGATCTAGTAATAATGGGTGGCGACTTAGACACTCAAGTAGGTAGACTCAGCGGAAAGGTAAGACACCTGGGTGGATCTTATGGTGTGTCGCGGCTAATAGAACAGATGATGGCCACTGTCTGCTGCATCTATGCTCAGATAACCGCCTATTCGTAGCAAACGTTTAGCATATGGTAAAACATCTTTTGACCTGGCGACCCCCAAAGCCGACCCAACTAGATAGCTTCTCCATAAGCCATCGATGGAGAGGCTCGATTGAAGACTGCCGCTCATTCTGGAGCACTTTGTTAAACACAGACTATGCTCTAGTGCGAGCACGTATTTGTAAGAAAAATATCACAAGGTTCCTGTTAGGGCTCTGCTTAATGATAATAAAGCTAAGAATATATTTCAGGAACAGAAGGAAAAACAGTTTCAGCAGCCATGTAGTAAGCGACGCCCATCCTTAGGCAGGTTGGAATGATAACAAAAAGGCTGGAATCAGCACTGATATCTAGCAAGATAAATGATAAGGCTAGGTAGAAGCGGTGGATCTCAGTAGCATCTAGTGAACTAGCGGATGCTCGAAAGCTTATCCCACCTAGCTCTGAACATGATGAACGAAGTCAGCTTAGGCGCAGGCTGATACAAAGACTGCAACGACCGCGAAGAGTGGTGGGTGGTGATAGGAAGAGCGACGAAGAAGACAACGGTGATAGGCGACAGTAGTCGTCTATTCAGACTTATTAGGGAAACCGATTTTTAGTATCCTGAATGTGAGTGAAACTATCTCGGAAAACGGTAGCTGTATCAATTATTCTTAATCCAGGAGGTTGAATCGAAGCGCAGAACACTTAAGGGATCGGTTTAATTGGCCTCCAGCCACACTTCGGTTGCCGAAGATCTCCAGTCATTTTGAATGATAAGTCGACGTAAGCCCTCCCAGTCTTTATGAAGTTGAGAAAGCCAAACCTGAAGCAACTTATTGTTTTTGACGGAGAGAATCGCATCCCTAACATGCTTGCGTTGTTGCTTACGGTGTGTCAGAAGGCTGCTTTTTGTCGGCGTCTTCACCAAACAGAACGAAGACATCGGCATATTCCAAGCCAACAAAAGAATCTCCTGGTTGAAGGTCCACTCCATTCAGACGAAGATAATTTTAGTTGTAAAAGCATGTCTATAGCAAAGTTACACAAGAAAAGATAAAGTAGGCAGCCCTGACGAGCACCACTTGAAGTAACCACTTCTGATGACAATACGCCTAAGCCCTCACTTGACCTGCAGTGGAGAAAGTGTATACGGTTATCGTACCTGTTTGATACACCATTCAATGACAGACAGTGCTAGAGAACCTCACGATCAACACAGTCCAATGCTTCCTTAATGTCAGGGAATACCACTATAGTGGAACGTCGAAATGTATATCTGTGTTCCAGGACCTGACGAAGTGTGGTATTGTGGTCTATACAGCCACGTTCTCGAGTCATCCTGAATGGCGAATAGACGTAAGTTCCCCGACTCTTTATGAAGTTGAGAAAGCGTTGGGAGATCTGAAGCAAGGGCGAGCTGCAGGTCCTGATAGACTGACCCCTGAGATATTTAAGGATGGTGGTCCAGTTTTAGCAGCTAGGTTGACTGAGATCTTAGGTAGAATCTGGGAACTGGACGTAATCCGATCCGAATGGTCTCAATTACTGATTGTCCCCATCTAAAAGAAAGGACACAAGTCTTCTTGTGACAATCACAGGGGAATAAGTCTAACTAATGTATTATCTAAAATATTGGCCTCAATAATACTTCGACGCTTAACGAAAGCTCGTGAAGAGCAGACTAGATAAAGTCAGGCTGGTTTTCGATCTAGACGTGGTTGTATAGACCACATTTTCACACTCAGACAGGTCCTGAAACACAGACACACATTTAGGCGTCCTACAATAGTTGTCTTCCTGCACCTTAAGGCGGCGTTTGACTCGATGGATCGTGAAGTTCAGTGTCGGTATCTGTCATTATAAGGTGTAGCAAAGAAGTAAATTAATCTTATACAAGCTCTCTACTCGAACACTACTGTTCGAGTTTGAGCTTGTGGAGAACTGTCATCGGAATTGATTACTTCAAGTGGTGTTCGTCAGGGATGTCCACTCTCTCCATTCTTGCTTAATTTTATCATAGACATGCATCCTCGTCTGAATTTTCAGGAGTAGACCTACTACCAGGTGGCTCGCTTATTGACTTAGAATATGCCGATGATATAGTCCTACTTGGTGAAGACGCTGACAAAGTGCAGTCTTCTGATTACCGTAAGCAACAACACAAGCATGTTCGGGATGCGGTTTCCCCCCTCGAAATGCAAAATGTTGCTTCAAGATTGGGTTGCATCGGCACCTGAACTAGTGATAGGGAGTGAAGTAGTCGAGCGTATTGACCGCTTCACTTATCTGGGGAGTCTCCTCAATGCTGATTGCCTGGTGACTGACGAAATCTCAGCTCGGATACAGAAGGTTCGATTGGCTTTTGCCAACCTGCGTCACTTATGGCAAAAGCGAGATATCCATTTACTGACCAAAGAATGAGTGTACTGCGCGGTAGTTCTCTCCGTCCTACTTTATGGCTGTGAAACATGACCAGTGAGAGTAGAAGATATTCGTACGTTACTGGTTTTCGATCATAGGTGTCTTCGAAGCATTGCTCGTATATCCTGGGACACCCGAGTGAGCAACGCTGTTATTAGGGAACGGGTGATAGGTAAGAATGGCAGATCAATAAATGAAGTAATGAAACTTCATCAGTTGAGGTGGTTGGGACATGTGCTGCGTATGCCTAACCACCGACTGCCTCAACGAGCTTTGTTTTGTAGTGTAGGAGTAGGTGGGAAGAAAAAAAACATGGCAGAAACCCATGAAGTCATGAACGAGTGGACTTAGCCATGTCGGTAATTGTCGACTACCTGGTTGGGGTCCGCGGAATGATAGTAATCGATGGTTAAATACCCTGAATGACATGGCTCAAAACCGTTTGTAATGGCGTAGGTGCATCCATTCTTTGTGTTCTATGAAATTCTAGTCTTGTGAATTCCTCGTCACATTTACCCTTCTCTCTCTAAACTTTTCTCACTGAATTATACTTCTTGAATAATATCCCTGAATCCTAATCTCTTTAATTACTGCTAATACTTCTATCTCTACTACTACGGGATTTGAATCGACCATCACGTCACTGCGCTAATGTGGTATGGCAACTTGAACTGCTGTACTTACGTGCACAGTTTCACGTTGCTGTTTTTGATAATCATGATGATGCATTCAGGTTCGGTCATCGTACTCGGGAATCAGTGTGAATAGTGTTCTTTTCCAAATAGTTTTCTCATCATTGGTCTGACCCGTACAATGTAAATGGAAACAAGCCTAATTGTCTCTGACATTGTAATCACAAGACTTTTAAGAGTACGTCACGATGTTCTGTCAGTTGAGGTGATCATAAATAACATACATCATTCAACCGTAATGTGAGTTATTTCACCTGAGTAAGTCTGTGAACCACCGTTGTCATATATTTGCTTAACAACACGCAAAACTATATCTTCCATCAAACGTTCTATCGGGTAGGATTTGTGCGTAAGTTTCCTCTGACGGGTGAAACCTTTTGGTAACTATTGTTGAATGATAGTCCTTTAGTTACGTTTTACTGCTAGAGTGTTACTCTTTCGGCGTAGTGATTTAACGCAGCTGTTTCTAATGTTCGCAATAACTCAATCTGATTTCCATATTGCGTAATCGATTTCGCATGTCCTTGTCTTATCCGGGGAGCTCATCGTTATCCGTCAAGGTGCTGACCCATAGTAGTCGGGACTCGAATCACAGGTCAAAGAAACGATGTTGGCCTTGCTAATGTTCTCATTATCGTATTCGTTTTCGTCTAACTGAACATTAATCATACTATCGGAGTATTTCGTAGTGTCTCTATCCCAGCTGTCTTTTCAAAGATTATTTTTCAATATTTTCGTTTTCCAGCGGGCTCATTTTAGTAACTCCATCGTGTTTTTGTAGCTAACCCTGAAAGATTATATCAATGGAATAATAGTGGAGCCTACACGGTAACGATTTGTTAGAGACAGCAGCCATGCATGTTAATATGTTTATTTCGTTTAAAGTATATAGGTTACAACTGTTTTTGGAGTGATTAACATGATCTGTTGACTATAACTTATAACGACATTGTTCTGCGAGTTTTGTACTATTGTACAACTCCAGTGTGTTTCACGGATGTACCCATGTTCCACTATGAACCTAAAAGTCCTCAGGTTAATGATTTTCAGTTTGTGAGTCCGCTTACGTACTGTCGAGAATGTGTAACGAGTAAACAACATAAGTGAATGGAGAGTTATTATAAATGGAACATTTAGTCTGCAAGATTATAATTTAAAATATTCTATGTTTTTGCGAATATAGATATGTCAGTGGTCTTCAAGCGATCTTAAGCTAAATTATACTCGTCCACCCATGTATTTGGCGGCATCGTCTATAGAAAAAAGAAAGGTAAATGTATTTATGAGACAGACACAACAGAAGATTCATGTGCTATTCATAAATTATCAGTTACTTCACTTTTCATATTAAATCAATCTACGATTGCTTGAATCGCTCACGTATCGTCACAAAATCGATTTATCTTTTTGCACTGGTCGAATATTTTGGAGACAAGATAATAACTTGATATGATACATAGTTAAATAGATATTACCTTAGAGTCAGTTGTATTTCCATCCCTCTAGGGTATGAATAAATGCATGTGATATTCTCAGAGTTAACAAAGAAGGCTATAGGTCTCTAAAATGACTTAAGTCTGACAGTGCTGAAAGTCTGGAAGAGCAGGAAGCAAGACAGTCTTGTTACTAATACATCATTCTTCCCTCGGCTGGTACTAATTATACAAGTGCAACACCGTGTACCACAAATTCATGAGCAAAATTGCTTGCGTCTTATGTACTAAGCAAACAGAAGTGCTCATATTTTGGCAGTGGCGAGTCAAATTGTCTTAGTATATCTAGTATTTCTGTATGAAAACATCTATAATGAACTCTACACGTCCAAATCAGAGATGAACATGCAAAAAAATGAACTAGGCATATGTTGTAGAATGCTCATTTGTTCATGTAAGTGGTATATAGTCTTGACCTGGTAAGATCCTATTAAAAATTATTGTTGATGGAAAGGTACGAGACACTAAGAAGCCCTTTTGTTACTGTCTAGTATTTCAGCGGATCGGGTATGCGTTATAAAACTAACCTCAGTAAACGCGACAATATTTAACTACTGAGTTAAGGCCAGTTGTTTCTACGATTGACATGTTTTTTGAGATTGGTTGAGGTGTATAGTATGTCGTAGCTATGCAATTTTAAGTAGTTTAGAACACGTATGCCTACTAAATTTAGTTCTTTAGCCGATATCGTTTAAACGTATCATCAGCAGAGTTCTTTTCGAGTTGTAATATGCTTTTCTTAGTAAATAACTTGAAAGTTGTTTGCTGTGAAAACAGCAATAGAGTCTTAATTCATTCTAGCGATACTTTAGCAAATATAAAACAATGAGATCACAATAAAAAAGAAAAAACTCGTCCTAACGATTCAATTGTAAGTTGCCTGTTTACGAATGTCTGATGGCTTTGTTCACTATTAAACTATTTTCGTCAAATATATATGCTAAGTAAAAGAAATGTCATTGACAAATTTGACTTTTTTCTCTAAGAGAATACGGTTAGTCATCAGACATAAATTGCAAACTCAATCTCACGGTCAACGTGAGGTTAAAGTCATAAGATATATGTCAATTGTTTCAAAAGGTCTTATTCACCCCATCGTTTTCATATTAAATATCATGGAGATTCTCAGTTATTTAACACTAGTATAGACCATCAACAAGTAGTGAAGGCGAGTTAATTGATCTCTTGTATCACAGAAAATAATCATATATTACAAACAATTACCAAAATGAAACTCACATCCATCACTTCACTATACTGTTTTAAGCATACTTTATCTTGAAGATAACCGCTAATGTGAAATTTCTTGAGAGTTGATGAGGTCCAAGTGGTATTTGATACATTACTCCTTTGTGGATTTTTTGGTAAGAGTAGAAAATCTACTTGTTGCGCTTCAAGAAATGGCCCATTTATAGAAGGTGTGTGCTTTACATCAACACAAGCCACTGCTGGTATAAAGTCATCAGCTGAAGCGGTAACTATGTATTTGCCTTTTGTAAGAAGCCGATAATAATCTCCAAATTGATCTGAATAAAAACGACAATGTTTAATTATAGTAACGTAATAACAGTAATAGGCAGATTTGTGACTGACGCCTTTATTACTACTTTTGTGACAGAACCTATAGTATTTTATTCAGAAATATTGTACAATTTAAAGATAATACTCAGATGCTCCAAATTTGGATTTGGAGCCTATATTTCATTTTATAAATCCGTTTAAAAAAGGTAATTTTGGATTATTAAATATTTAGGTACTAATTGATGCCCTTTTTATGTTCCCAGTGACTGCGTTACAGGTCTAACCTTATACATATTTGGATACCTCAAAGATCGCTTAATTTATGAGTATACTGTTGACAGCAACCCTTTATCAAGAATCTGAATTCATATTTTTACGCTGTCTGCATATCCAATAATATTTTAGTCCGTTAATTAGATATTTAAGGTACCTAATGCGATGTATCTGAAAATAACTGAAGTTAACAGTAAACCTAGTTCTCACCGATTTTAATAATAATGAATAGCAAGCTATGAACGCGGTTCTGTTTAAATCGAATTCAGAAACCAAACAATCAACAGGTTGCGTTTGTGAGTAAGGTATGTAGTTATTTGAACTTCGCATCATTTATTGACAAGTGAAAGTCAAACTTGACTGTTTGGCAGCATGCTGTTCATCCTGATAAGTATAATATTGGACGGCCTCAGTAAAATGCACTCAGATATACGATCCCATTCAACACACTATCCCTCAGTGCACGTCATGAAGTTGCTAATAAACTCAAAGTATGATATTTAGGATTAAGATACACTTATATATTCATTTAAGAGATAGAGAAGTGTTTGTTAGTTTTCTTTACTGCATGATGATCTAATCATGATCAAACGAAGTTACATTGAAAAACCTTGACTAATGCAAGAAATTAATCTAAACCATTCTATTGACAAATAATTTTATTATTTTCGAAAAAAAAATTATTACATTCATAATACTTGTTTCGAAAAGCAGTTTCAAAACTGTTCTCTTGCTTTGCCGAACTCATATAAAACAAGGTTAATAGCAAATAATAAAACTGTTGAGTATTAATTTGTTTCAAGTTGATATAATTGCCTTTCAAAACGAACTTAAAGAAGCATCACAATGAAAAATACTTATCCGTGCAACCGAGTTACATTTTGCATCAATTCACTCTAAATGTACAGAAACTGTAACTAAACTTAAGTGACTGTAATTTTGACTTCCACTGACACAAAGTATATGGTGTTGATTATTTTACTATGCTATGATTAAGGTCCCGTCTCTTTTTTATATTTAAACTCTTGAGTGCATTGAGCATCGTCATTAGATCTTATTCGAGGCTGATCTATGGAAAAAATCGCAGTCCTGTGTGGTAACAAGCTTATTGGTTTCGCTAATTCACATGTTTCAAAATGGTCTTAGTGGATCATCAAATGACAGTCATACATTATTCACTTAGTCTTATACATAGTCAGTCCTGATTAGTATTTTCAATGGCATCTGGTTATGTAGTCATTTGGAATGGTTTAGTATCAGAGAGTGTAAGTTAGTTTGTAGTCACAATCAAATTCTTCCTACATCTAATAACTCTCTTATCTTCATGACCAACTCTTCTTTCGTTCTTTTGACACCTCGCGCCGCTGATCCATAAACGATTCGAGTTCACGGAACGTTAATCCTGGTCTCCTGAATCCCCGTTCTAAACTATATGCTGAAGGTTTTAATGTTCAAACCTTGTTGCGCCTTATCAAGGACACTGGTATTAGAATCCGATTATCTCGGATAAGTATGGGCTTTTTATTGATTCTCAAACCACGAGATTGGATCGATAGGCAGAATATTTCACAAATCAGTTCAACTGGCCTTCAACCACACTTCAATTGTCCACGATCTCCAGTCAATCTGAGTGGCGATTCGATGTAAGTCCTCCGACCTTTTACGAAGCTTAGAAAGCTATAGGAAATCTGAAGCGACGGAGAGCAGCCAGTCGTGTTAGTCTAACTCCTCAGATTTTTAAGGATGCTGGTCCAGTTTTAGCAGAGGGATTGACTGAGATCCTAAGTAGAATTTGTGAATTGAGCCTAATCCCATCTTGCTAATCTCAACCACTGATCTTCCCAGTCTGTAATAAAGGACAAAAGTCTTCTTGTAACAATCACACAGGAATCAGTTTGACTAATGTATTGTCTTAATTGTTAACCTCAATTATCCTTAGACGCTACACTAGAGCTGGTGGAAAGCAGACTAAAGAAAATCAGGCTGCCTTCAGACCTGGACGTGGCTGATCAGTCAGTCGCATGCAACGTAGAACTTCGTAAGTAAGTACATCAGTTCATGTTGCCATACCACATCAGCACAGAGATATAATTATCAAGTCAAATCCAATAGTAGAAGTAGTAAAGGTGTTAGAAGTAATCGGAGGGGTTAGGATTAGACGATATTATTCAAGAAGTATGATTCAGGGAGAATGTCAAAACTGGAGGTGTTGAAGAATCCAGAAGATTAGGATTTGAGGGAACACAAAGAATGGATGCACCTACGCCATTACAAACGGTTTTGAGCCATGTCATTCAGGGTATTTAACCATCGATTACTATCATTCCGCGGACCCCAACCAGGTAGTCGACAATTACCGACATGGCTAAGTCCACTCGTTCATGACTTCATGGGTTTCTGCCATGTTTTTTTTCTTCCCACCTACTCCTACACTACAAAACAAAGCTCGTTGAGGCAGTCGGTGGTTAGGCATACGCAGCACATGTCCCAACCACCTCAACTGATGAAGTTTCATTACTTCATTTATTGATCTGCCATTCTTACCTATCACCCGTTCCCTAATAACAGCGTTGCTCACTCGGGTGTCCCAGGATATACGAGCAATGCTTCGAAGACACCTATGATCGAAAACCAGTAACGTACGAATATCTTCTACTCTCACTGGTCATGTTTCACAGCCATAAAGTAGGACGGAGAGAACTACCGCGCAGTACACTCATTCTTTGGTCAGTAAATGGATATCTCGCTTTTGCCATAAGTGACGCAGGTTGGCAAAAGCCAATCGAACCTTCTGTATCCGAGCTGAGATTTCGTCAGTCACCAGGCAATCAGCATTGAGGAGACTCCCCAGATAAGTGAAGCGGTCAATACGCTCGACTACTTCACTCCCTATCACTAGTTCAGGTGCCGATGCAACCCAATCTTGAAGCAACATTTTGCATTTCGAGGGGGGAAACCGCATCCCGAACATGCTTGTGTTGTTGCTTACGGTAATCAGAAGACTGCACTTTGTCAGCGTCTTCACCAAGTAGGACTATATCATCGGCATATTCTAAGTCAATAAGCGAGCCACCTGGTAGTAGGTCTACTCCTGAAAATTCAGACGAGGATGCATGTCTATGATAAAATTAAGCAAGAATGGAGAGAGTGGACATCCCTGACGAACACCACTTGAAGTAATCAATTCCGATGACAGTTCTCCACAAGCTCAAACTCGAACAGTAGTGTTCGAGTAGAGAGCTTGTATAAGATTAATTTACTTCTTTGCTACACCTTATAATGACAGATACCGACACTGAACTTCACGATCCATCGAGTCAAACGCCGCCTTAAGGTGCAGGAAGACAACTATTGTAGGACGCCTAAATGTGTGTCTGTGTTTCAGGACCTGTCTGAGTGTGAAAATGTGGTCTATACAACCACGTCTAGGTCGAAAACCAGCCTGGCTTTATCTAGTCTGCTCTTCACGAGCTTTCGTTAAGCGTCGAAGTATTATTGAGGCCAATATTTTAGATAATACATTAGTTAGACTTATTCCCCTGTGATTGTCACAAGAAGACTTGTGTCCTTTCTTATAGATGGGGACAATCAGTAATTGAGACCATTCGGATCGGATTACGTCCAGTTCCCAGATTCTACCTAAGATCTCAGTCAACCTAGCTGCTAAAACTGGACCACCATCCTTAAATATCTCAGGGGTCAGTCTATCAGGACCTGCAGCTCGCCCTTGCTTCAGATCTCCCAACGCTTTCTCAACTTCATAAAGAGTCGGGGAACTTACGTCTATTCGCCATTCAGGATGACTCGAGAACGTGGCTGTATAGACCACAATACCACACTTCGTCAGGTCCTGGAACACAGATATACATTTCGACGTTCCACTATAGTGGTATTCCCTGACATTAAGGAAGCATTGGACTGTGTTGATCGTGAGGTTCTCTAGCACTGTCTGTCATTGAATGGTGTATCAAACAGGTACGATAACCGTATACACTTTCTCCACTGCAGGTCAAGTGAGGGCTTATGGCGTACTGTCATCTTTTAGACCTTGAGTGACATGGTTCAAAACCGTCTGCAATGGCGTAGGTGCATCCATTCTTTGTGTTCTATGGAATTCTAATCTTCTGAATTCTTCATCACATTCACACTTTTCTCTCTAAACTTATGTCACTGAATTATGCTTCTTGAATAATATCCCCGAATCCTAATCTCTTTGATTACTGCTAATACTTCTATCTCTACTACTACGGGATTCGAATGGACCATCGCGTCTCTACGCGGTATGGTGACTTGAACTGACGTACGTACGTACGAAGTTTTATGTTTTCGCTGAATGACTGAAAATCAGGAAAGCGATCAAGATCCTGGAACGATTGGAAATGCTTTTCGAGTATATTCCTATGTTCTCAAAGATGCTGATTACTAAACAGTCTGACTGAGATGCCTAGCATAATATCCTGAAGATTGTGCTCTATTTCCATTCCTCGCAGTCTATATACAAGCCTCTGATTTAACTCTGCTATTAAAGTTTCAGAAATCATTAAATTCCCTTTCCTTTTATGCTCATAATTAAATAAACAAGTGATAAAAATTAGACAAATGAAACAAGCCGTAAATCTTCACACAGTGGAAATTGCAGCATTTATCATGTGTCTTATGCAAATTAATACTGCAGAGTTGATGTACTTTAACTATCTCACTCACTTGGAGAATCACAACAGTTTTTCGGGCTAGTTAATATCAAATTCAGAAGACTTAAGCCATATTTAAAAATTTAAAATCTATGTTACTGTTGAGGCCTCATCAAAGAAAAAATGTACAATGTGGTAATGCAACTGGCAGTAATATAGACTTATTAGATATGGCTTTTAAATGCGGCTTGACATTACTCATGTATAGTGGAACGTCCAAGAGAATGTGATGAAAGTCAGACACAGATCTTGGTAAAGGAGGTGAAATTATTAAATCTCATCGATCACAGTGGATTATATGGTTTGGATACTTCTGAGCAGTATAATATCTTCACCAGTGAACGATGTTGGGTGAAATATACTTAAGGCATAAGCAGAAAATTTCTGTTAGACATGGATACAGCTCTGGCTAACTAGCTCTAGCAGCTGATCTGACTTTTGTGCAACATTGGTAACTAAGTGGTTGAACTTACTGACTTTCGTATCTTATCTCAGCTAATCTCAAATGAATATTCAATAAATTTAATTGATAGTGTTTTCGATCATTTGTAGTGTATTTATTTATTCTATGAGAAACAATGTTAATAATAAATACAAAAATATTCTTAGGCGATAATTTATATTATGTAATGGTTTTAAAAAGAATGGAATTCAACAAATAAGCTCACAAATCAAACTGTCTGTTAATCTTGCTTCAAGATATGTCCAGATTACTGTACAAAAATGGAAAAATTTGTTTATAATTTTGCTTTTCACGAAAAACTATTGAATTAGATTTAATCTCGTTTTACTGTGTTTTATGTTTAGATTTCTGAGACTGAATATCATGCAGTAGAAAACTGTCAGCACGAAATTTCGCTCGTCACATAAACAGATTTATATCATGAACTGACAATCAGGATATTCGTTTGATTAAAATGAACTATAGATATAATTGTGTTCTTATTCTGTAAAATGTGAATCGGCTTTGAAGTAATTACTTCATTAACTTAAATACTCCTTCCACGGTGTGGGCAGCCGGGAAGTGATAACCGCCCTCATACCCGTAACAGCACACGAGACAAAATTGGTCAAAATCGAATCCTTCCTACACCCCCTAATACCTCTCTTATCTCCACGACTAACTCTTCTCACATTCCTTTATCACAATGCACATCTAATGCAAACGATGCGAGTTCGCGAAACGTCGTTCCTGGTCTCCTTAAACCCCGTTCTAAACTACATGTTGGAGCATTTAATGTACGGACAATGTGTCAAATAGGGCAACAGGCATCATTAGCTAGGACTTTAGAATCTCGTGCCATCGATGTATGCTGCGTCTTGGGAACGCGCATGCAGGATCCTAGTAAAGTCATTAACCTGATTTCACCTTGTCAAAACGAAGAAGCAGCTCGATTCACTCTTCGTGTATCCGGAAGCCCTGATGCTGCTTCCAGGGGTCTTGCTGGCGTAGGCATAGCATTGAGTCGTAGAGCTGAACAACCTCTCCTTGACTGGATCCCAGTAGATAGTCGCTTGTGCGCTGTCCGACTAAACGGGACAGTAAGGATTCGAAAGGATAGGGACACTCGTCGTTGCCTCTTCGTCATATCAGCCTACACCCTCACTGACTGCAGTCCAGACGATGTAAAAGATGAGTTCTACAGAAAGCTTTCGGACCTCCTCCAAAAAGCTAGGCGCACTGATATAGCAATGATGGCTGGTTACTTCAATGCTCAAGTGAAAATTAAAGACACCTAGGTGGATGTTATGGTCTCGCGGCTCAAAGAACAGACAATGGCGACCGTCTGTTACAACTGTGCTCAGATAACCGCCTATTTCTTGCAAACACTAATTTTAAACATAAGGAAAAACATCTGTTGACCTGGCGACCCCCGAAGTTGTCTCAACGTTGGACGCAACTAGGCCACATCGCCATCAGCCATCGATGGAGGGGTTCGATAGAGGATTGTCGCTCGTTCTGGGGCAAATGTTTAGATTCATATCATTCCCTAGTTCGAGCACGTATTTGTTTTGAGGCTTGCTGAACGTAGGAAAGACACCGTAAGGAAGCCTCTTAGGGCCTTACTTGATGATAATAGGGCGAAGAATATATTTCAGGAACAACTAGAAAAACAGTTAGGCGACCATGCAAGTGATTCCCATCCGGAGTCAGGTTGGAATGATATCAAAAAGGCTGTGGAAACAGCAGTGATATCTGCTAGTAAGGTAAACCGTAAGCCTAGGATGAAGCCGTGGATGGATGCTCGAAAACGCATCCCACCTGGCTCTGAACATGATGAAAGGCGTAGTCAGCTTAGGCGCAGACTTATAAAAAGCCTACGTAACGACCGTGAACAGTGGTGGGTGGCGAAAGCAAGAGCGATGAAAAAGGCAGCGGCGATAGGCAACAGTAGACAACTTTTCCGCCTGAACAAAGAAACCGGTATTAGGAACGCGAATGTGAGTGAGACTATCTCGGAAAAGGAAGTAGAGCAGCAGGTCCTGATAGGCTTACCCCTGAGATGTTTAAGGATGGTAGTCCAGTTTTAACAGTTAGACTGACCGAGATCCCAGGTAGAATCTGGGAACTGGACGTAATCCCATCTGACTGGTCTCAGTCGCTAATTGTCCCAATCTACAAGAAAGGACAAAAGTCCTCTTGTGACAATCACAGGGGAATAAGTCTAACTAATATAGTTTCCAAATTGTTAGTCTCGATTATCATTGGACGCCTAACTAGAGCTCGTGAAGAGAAGACTAGATAAAGCCAGGCTGGTTTTTGACCTGGACGTGGTTGTATAGACCACATCTTCACACTACGACAGGTCCTGAAACACAGACACACATTTAGGCGTCCTACAATAGTTGTCTTCCTGCACCTGAAGGCGGCGTTTGACTCAATGGATCGTAAGGTTCTGTGGCAGTGTCTGTCATTGAAAGGTGTAGCAAATAAGTAAATTAATCTTATACAAGCACTCTACTCGAACACTACTGGTCGGGTGAGAGCATATGGCGAACGGTCATCTGAATTCTCTACTTCAATTCTTGTCTACTACATTCTTGTTTAACTTTGTCGTAGACATCCTCTTAGATTTAACATTCAGCTCGTCAGATTTCTCAGGGGTTGACCTTCTACCAGGAAATTCGCTTACTGATCTAGAATATGCTGATGACATAGTTCTATTCGGTGAAGACGCTGATGAAATGCAGAGTCTTCTGACTACCATAAGCAACAATGCGAGCATGTTCGGGATGCGTTTCTCACCCTCGAAATGCAAAATGTTGCTTCAAGACTCGGCTGCATTCGCACCTGAACTAGTGATAGGGAGTGAAGTAGTCGAGCGTGTTGACCGCTTCATTTATCTGGGAAGTCTCATCAGCGCTGATAGCCTGGTGACTGACGAAATCTCAGCACGGATACAGGAAGCTCGATTGGCTTTTGCCAACCTGCATCACTTATGGCGTAGGCGTGACATCCGTTCGTTAACCAAAGGACGGGTGTACGGCGCAGCAGTTCGCTCCGTTATCCTTTATGGCTGTGAAACATGGCCGTTAAGAGTAGAAGACATTCGTAGGTTACTGGTTTTCGATCATAGGTGTCTTCGAAGCATTGCTGGTATATCCTGGGACAACCGAGTAAGCAATGCTGTCGTTAGGAAGCGAGTACTAGGTAACGATGGCAGATCAATAGATGAAGTGGTGAAACTTCATCAGTTGAGGTGGTTGAGACATGTGTAACTTATGGCTAACCATCGACTGCCTCGTGGAGCTATGTTTTGTGGTGTAGGAGTAGGTGGGAAGAAAGCTAGGGGGCGGCCAGACCAAAACATGGCAGAAATCCATGAAGTCACTGACAAGTGGACTGAGTCATGTTGGTAGATGTAGACTGCCTGGTTTGGGTCCGCGAGACGACAATCACCAATCGTTAGAGATCTTGAACGACATGGCTCAAAATCGTTTGCAATCGCGCAAGTGCATCCATTCTTTGAGCTCTCTCAAATCCTAATCTTCTGGATTCGTCAGCACCTCTACCTTTGTCTTTCTAACCTTATCTCACTGAATTATATTTCTTGAATAATATCTTCAAAGCCTAGTCTTCTTCATTACCATCAATACCTCTTCTATCTTTATCGCTATGGGATTTGATTTGACATCTGCGTCTTTGTGCTGATGTGGTATGGCAACATGAACTTATGTACATACGTACGAAGTTCTACGTTGCAACTGACTGACTGACTGAACTTAAACACTCACTTTGTAACTACGATAACTGGGGAGTCATCGGTTAGCGATGTTATGTTGACTGGAAATATGCATTCATACAGTATTTTCCTTCTTTTGTAATCACCGGTAATCTAAGGGTCAAGTTCCACTACATCTGATTAACAAGTTATTTAGTTCATGCATTTCTAACAAATGTCAGCCACAGTTATCAGCTTCTAGAGTGATCTGATAAGCAACGCTCTAGTCAAAACTAGTTAACTTATCACTTGCAAGTTAATAACATTCATAAGGCAAGCTAAATACTTTTTTATTTATCAACTGTTTCTTCTAATCATACATTCTTAGCACATCATTAAATATTACGTGTATCCAGCTAAGAGAACTCAAGATCGACAAAAAGCATCCATATGAACTAGAAGTTTATTTCGTCACTTGAAAGTCAAACGTCAGCATGTTCAACAAACAAATGAACTGCTATATAAACATCGAAAAGTGACTGTCACAGTGAAACAAAATTATATTTATTTATGATCCATATAAAAGAAAACCTACCTGTATTTATATTATGAAGTATAGGAGTCGGATTAGTTGGATCAGTTATATTAGTTACCTTGATAACTGCATACTCCATCGGAATATAATTATTTTCCACGTATCCATACACAATGCCTTTAATGCCTCTATGGACCTTGACAGAACATAAAAAACAATATTTTTTTTCAGGAGGTTAAGCAAATCTTAATTTGCTTAGTCATCTTAAAGTCTCAATCACAGTTTTATTTTCGGAGACATAGTGCCTCAAGTTGGTGAAGTAACCATTATAGTCAAGCAATTTTTTGTTTTTCCGCTACCTTGACATTGTTTCAAGGCATGAGGCCTTGAAAGTGAATAATGAGCAGTTCGAATTTCCATTCTGAACGTAGTCCTAATTACGTGAAATTATCCAATCTCTTGAAGGAAAATATTTTGACGAATATTATGTTCTTATCAAACGATTCCCAAATGAATCTTATTAATGGAGGTAAATTATTAGATACGCGTGTACATTAGTTAAAATTAACCAATCGTTTTGTCATGCACAATCATGACAATAATATCCAAGCGTATTTAACTTGGCTTATAACGGCACGTTTCCTAACTTCACTGAAAAAATCACCGGCTAACGCAGAACCTACCTGTCAGTAAAGTTCATTGTTAAATTGATGTGGATATTCCTAATGAGTCATAGAATACAAGTAATTACATTTTCTTTTCTGGAATCAGGATAATTATTCTTCTTTCTAATGATATTTCCTATTGGTTACCGATGGTTTTAGTCAGTATAATATTCGACAGATTTACAGCTTTCATTAGGTCTGCGAATTCAGATACATCTTTTACAGTGTATTTCAATGAGTAAATGTGCGGTGGTTTCAATGCTCCACCAAAAATTTCTCTGTTAAGTGCTGAGCTTCGCATGTCAATACAGGTAAAATGGTACACTTGACTTGTGAGCTCTTGAAAAGTATGTTCTAGAAAGTTTAGATGCATCGTAATTAAATATTAAAATTTCTCTACTTTTTGGTGTCATGTTCATTTGAGGACTAGGCCTTCCTACAAAGGCTTTACAGATGCGTAATTTCCTGAGTTTCGTTTGGTTATTCAATACAAGGTTCATCTGATTGCTGCGTCTCTCTTGCTTAGACTTATAATCCCCAACGCTTTGTCTGATCTGGTAGTTACTAATTTCACATCCAAACCATGTTTTCTGACGGCTTTTCTAACTTTCCTGATAAGTAGGCCATTCATGTGATGCATCTTGATTTCAATCTGGTCGCAACAATTATTCATTGTGGTCTTAATTTGACCTATTTTGTGATTTGAGGATCATACCGAATACTCAACTTAAATAAACAGGTTTATAAACTATACATCTATCTTTCATCGAAACAAATCAGCTTAAATCTAGTGACTTCTAACTGAATTTTGTCTGCATTAACTAAGCATAGTGTTGTCATCACAGCTTCATGTTACACAGTATTTTTAAAAGAAAATTAAGCTAATATAATCTGCATTAAATTATTTTGATTTTCAATAGAAACTTTAATCATATGTTTTTGAATATGATGTAATTAGATTAGCTAGCAGAGAAAAGTGAATTAAAAGCACACATTCAAGGAAAGTCAATAGAGCATTATAACTGAAAACATTTTGATTGTACTGTACAATAGGCAAGTGGATTGGTTATGATTTGAGATAAAGGTTGTTTTTGATAAATTGTCATTAGCATAGATACGGACGAAAACTAGATAATATTGGAAACATGTTTTGCCTCGGTTTGGGAGCACTCAAATGTGAAATCGCGCAGTTACGAAAAAATCGAACCTGTGGATTCAATCTAAATAGTCTAACATTTAGAATGCTAAGTTACCACTTAAATATTTAAATTTTACGATAAAGTGGACACTCATCCATACTTGGATGAAACAATAATTCCTAGTTTTCAATGGTACTCCGAAGAGTGTTGGTCTATGATGGAAACTGTCAACGAATACAAGATAATTTAGTTTAAATCGCTGAAACAAAAATGTTCATGGTGCTTAAGGATTACGAATATTATCTATAATGTTCTTAGTAGTATTAATCATGTGAAGTATCTGGCTATCACCAATCTAAATCTCCAGTCTTGTTTATTGTTTTACAAGACGTTTCAAAAATAATTTGATTGACAAAAATTATTTCGATTTCAACAAGCAGAAATATACGCGGTGTTTTAATAGTTGTTTTGGATGTAATTACAGAAGCTGTAGTTGTGTAAATAAGACCATCTAAAGAAATCAATTTTCGCCAACAAAAGACATTACCTAATAGACCACTGAAAACCACACATAACTGTTCAGTCATAGCTAGGAAGTCCCCGGAAGTCCATAACGAAGAGGATATGTGAGATTTAAGCCAAGATGTTCGTAGTAAGCGAAACCAGAAGCTCATTACAATTCAAACTATTTTCTATCTTGTAATATCATTCTTGAACTAACTATTAAAGTATTATTTTACGACGGTATAAACGACACTTCATTAACTGATACTAAAAATTTCCAGTCAGATATTTATTACAGACCGAACAAAGTAAAGAAATATTTCTTCTAAATCAGTGTTTTAATCATGCTTTCGCACTGATGTACAACAAATTGATACTAATAATAATATAATACAAATGGAATTGTCGAGTTACCCAGCTACAACTTCACGGTTGATAATGAAAATGCAGTCAAATTATTAATTAATAGTTAAAAATACTACAGTGATTAAAATATTCACAGTAATTATTGTGAGTCAATTACCAACCGAAGATAATGTAGGATGCTTGAGCAATATTACGAATTTATTGACGATAGACGTGTTAGCCGCTGGATAGCGGTTCAGTAGAATAAAGAGCACTTGGTATGACACCTTAAAGTCTTGAATTCGGTCCCTAGTGATGTCGTTAGTGGTTGCTGTTGAGTAGTCGCATTCCAGTACGAAACAGCTCTCCAGTGCTGCCTGGTATTCAGTGGCTGTCTAACTTAGGTTAGTTCGCGATATCAATAATATTGTAAATTAACTGAAATACGTAGCTAAAAGGTTGACGGGTCACATAATATTCAAAAAGAGAAGTGGCATAACACTTAGGTCGAAATTCAAATATTAATGATAGCCACATAAGATTTAAGAGATAAATACTCTGATTATTCAAGAAGACAAGGAACAAAAATAAACTCAGCGAAAGGAAAGTAATAGCAAGTCTGTTTTAACCTTTGGTTCCATAACCTGTGTAGAGAGATGGTTTGTACAAATTTCGTTTGGACCGGTAGGCTTGGTTAATAAATATGGATCCCAAAGGCTTTGGGAGTATGCAAAGCAAGCCGATATACCATGCGCGAAATGTATTATATATTAGTAGTACATATTATATATATAATTGAACTTACCTGATGATTTGGGTCAATCAAGTGGGCTAAAATATAAATCTAACTAAACTTTAACTGCCTACTACCCAACCACGCAGGATAATGTTCGGAAATATGATTATGGATTCGTGTAATTGCATTTCCCAAACAAGTGTCTTCATAGGAGCAGTTGAAATAATAAATGAACATAAATTTCGCAAATTTAAGCAGTCTATCTTTATAGCTAGTGGTAATAATCCAATTAGGATATCAGAAAACGTCCAGCTTAAATGCGCGTTGAACATTTCTTGTGTTGCCGAAAGGTATTTTAAACTAGCTCTAAGAATAATAACTTTATTTTCTTTATCTGGTTGAATTCGGTTAGAAACCTTACACTACTAAGTAGTTCACGGATACAATGTAATTCTTCATCAAAAGTACCTTCGGAACAACTTAATTAAATGTAAAGATCCAGCATTTCGCTAGCTTTTTTTAATTCGTAAGCGCTATAGAGCTTCAAAAAAGTACTTATTATTCGTATGATCACCTTTTTTATGGTTTTTGTTGAATGAGATACCCACTTTTCTTCTTGATCGAACATCTAAAAGCGAAATGTTATCTCATTTCGTTCCTGCTTTTATAGATACTACTTACAAAGTGACTTATTTCATGATTTCTCTATTTTATCTGTATTTATAAAAATCGAATGTCATTTGAAGATGATTAAGGAGTTTACTTGTCGCTATTATGAAGGATTTAATCAATATTGAAATTATTTAAGTAATGAGGATGAATGCTATGTGTGAGTGAGTCTTGGTGAATATTGCTAAATAATAACCGTCATTTAACAATAACGTGTTTGGTAGCTTGAAAAGTAACATGTCCAACATCCTAGTGACAATATTATTCTCAGGCACTGAAACAGATTTTCAGGATGAAATCCTATTAACTGATAAGCTTAGATATTGGCCAGGTTGGCCTGAAAAGAAGGTTAACGGTTACATTAAAATGCAGATTTGTAATCAATTTTCTGAACTAAATTTAACACACTCAAATTTTAACGCCACTCCTACGCATTTCTCATACTCATAAGCATACACACAAATGCGTACACTGATGTCTCTATATGGAATCACATTAATCGAGAAATTCACATGGCATTTAGATAATCTAATGTGTTTTGATTTTGACTGAAATAAATATTCCAGCTCGTTCCATTATACCATTTAAACTAATGTTGATTTAATTTGGCTATTTTTTGATTTAGTTGGAAGAAGTGACCTACATTAACTGATGCAACATCAGAAATCCAAAATCCTACTCACTAGAGTACCACAAATAGATTAATAAAATATGTTTAATTTCTTCAAATTATCAAATTAATTCTTGTTACTGATACTTACAAAAAAAGATATTAACTTAGAAGTAAGTAAATTACTTGAAACATTTGAGATTTTCTTGGATAAATTCATTCATAACACTTGCTTACTTGTAAAATAAAATTGAGTAGAGACATTTTATTTTCATCCCAGTATCTTGGTAATTCAGAAGCATTAGGATACTTTTCACAGCCTAGTTCCAAAGTTATTTCAAAACTATTCGTGTGCAGATAATTGTAATCTTGCATTCCTTAATGAAATGAAGATTAGAAACAAGAAAAAAAAACGTTAAAAGGTATGAATTCGATGCTTAGAACTTTGACATTGTCGAAAATGGAAGTGTATCTAATGGAAGAAGTCAAAATTCTAGTTTATGTGATTATTTTGAAAAAAATGCTTATCGAAAGTACCGCAACAAAAATAATTGACCCTTTAAAATGTAATCACCAATTTTGCTGAGTGATGAAATATTTTAACTTCGATGTGTGTGAAACTAAATTCTTGAGCTGAACATTAGTTTGGATAAACTCCAGTCTTAAGTAGTGACTATATATCTTCGTACAGCAAAAACTAATTGCAAATAATTGATAGTTATAGTCAATTCATGACATGATGCCACTTCAAGTTTGTTTTTAACAATTATTATCATTATTAATATTATTATTATTTCACTATAGGCTACTGTTTTAGCAAATAAAACTAACTGTTAATACGATTCTACAGCTTGAGTAAATTAAAGTATTCAAAAGAAAAAAATTTTTCGTTAAGTTACTTTTATTTTCTATCGAGATTAGGATGAGATCATTCTACTGTGTAGAAATATTTTCTCTATAACATATTCTTATAAAAATAAATTCAATGGACATTGTTCAGTTGTTGTATTTACATGAAACTAAAAGAGATTTCTGAACAAACTCGATTTCAGCTGAGGAAGAAATTAAGAAAAAGCGTAGGAGGTGGATAGAACACACATTGAAGAATGCACCCAACTGTGTCACACACACAAAACATGCCCTCACTTGGAACCCTCAGTGCCAAAAGAGAAGAGGAAGACAAAAGAAAATATTCCGCCCACAATTTGAGACAGACATGGGAAGAATGAACAGCAATTAGATAGACCTGGAAAAACAGACCCAAGACAGAATTAGTTTGCGAATCCTAGACGTCGGCCTATGCTCCATTGAGACGTAATAAGGGTAAGTAAGTAAAAAAGATTACTGAACTAAGATTATTTCCTGCTACATTAGCCATTTCCTGCCTTTCTACCTAGTATACCAACAAAGGAAATACCACTCCCATATACATGTAACTGCTTCTGTAGAGATAGCTAAATAGACAGACGTATTTATAAAAACCCTCCATAGCTTTCTCAGGGACTGTCCAACGTTAATAAATAAAGGGATAATAGTTTTTTTAAAAATTTTTCAGTTGTTTTATTTAGTTGATTTTAATGACAAAAAATAATATAAAGTATAGTGTGAGCCATCACACAAAGGGAATTTGAGTTGGTTTGCATGACAGAGGTTGGAGTGAAATGTACATCTGGGCAATAAATGGTTTCCATTATTAAAACAGAAAAATACCAAGAATTTCAATCTAACTAATTCTCTCTGTTTAAACACACGACAGTGTTTTTTTACACGGATGAATTCAATCGTTCGAATGTTTTTAGAAAAGATCTTTATATTAAATATTCAATAACCGCAGTTAAACTTGTGTTTCATTCCGCTAATTATCCATAACTCTTTGTGAAAATAAATCGAAACAGAAAGATCATATTCAGAGTTCTTAGTTATGAATGTCTAAGATCACTTTTTACTATTCAGAGTTGATCGAAGCCGACTGAATGAGACGTTAAATGTCGCCAACAAAAGGAATCATATTATCTAGATGTTTTCTTGTTTTTGTGTAGACTCAATGAAAGATGATGTACTGAAGATATTTCGCAGTTTTTGCGGTTAGTTTGTGATCATTTTGTATGATACACCAGAGGTGAACATTAGTCTTTATTCTATCACATATACAAGTTATTTTGAATCGTTCAACAAGATATTTAAAGCATAATGATACCATTTACGTTCAAAAGAGTAATCACATTGAATTCCTAACTTCATAAAGTTTGATTGCAGCTTAAAGTTAAAGTGTGAAGTCTAACACTTCACCGTAGCCAAAATATGTATTGTAGAGCTATTTCTAAAGTATCTGAAGATTAGATGTACATACTTTGTCGTAAACTGTGTCTCCTGTAAATACACATGTTTCATCTGGTCTTGACTTCATCGTGCGTTACAACAGTCTTTAACCTCGTTCACAAGCTCTTATGTTGAAAAACTTTCAAAGAACATGTACGGATGAGTTTGAATGAAGTAGCGAAACATTTTCCTGGTTCAATTTCAAAACGAAATGAAGTTCATAAAAATGCTGGATGCGTTTTTACATTTTTTTCCCCTGCATGCGTGGACTTGTATGATGACTCGAATAACATTTGATTTTGTTGAGTGATATTGAGGAGGTTTCCTGGAAATTAAGGGCTTTTTTGATAAGGTAGCTGACATTATCCAGCGAAGTGTTAAAAACGAGGAATCGAGTGACATTTATTTCACTTTGAACAAATAATAACTATATCCCTATTAATGACTACGTTTGCGGTTATTTTAAGAAGCTGTACTCAGTGGAATCAATCTAGTCAGGACAGACTCGGCAGTTTACAGATAAAGTTGGGTTCGGGTTGAGCTATATCATAAATTGCCCGAAGCTGACAAATTGAATTGTTGGATAACCAACTTATTGGTTCCATAGTATCTTGATCACTTTAGAAACTGTATGTTGTTGATTAGATTATGTATTTAGGATCATAAGCACAAACTGATGAGTTAGTGTAAACTCGGACGAATAAGCCGTTCAATGACTTATAATTTTCAATCGTTATCTAAATGAAAATCACCTAATGTATCATGATGAAAAATAACTTCACAAAAGTAGCAAATAAGATTATTTCTAACAGATCGAGTATTTTTAAACTTTTCCAATTATTAATTATAGAGTTATGGAGATGGATTATGTAGATTAGTGGATTTTAAAAATAACTCAATGAAATAAAAAGAAACGATTTTAAGTTTATATAATTTTACTGTTATATATGATTCAACTATAAACAATCTGTGGTTTATCAAGTAATTTAAAAACACCGCTCGGTAATTTCAACTGTGTACATCATCTGCGAATTACTTTAGACGTTAAAATGCACATCATTCAACCACATCTTCAGTCTAACGCTAGAGCATTTTATAAATGCTGTTTAAGAAAAGTAGTCATGAGTTATTTGATTCACAGTAAGAATACTTAGTTTAAAGCATATGGAATAAGTTTTATGTTTAGGGGAACAACTTTTTTCTAGTGCATTACAAACTGTAGGCACGAATATCAGTTTTTATGTCAGGAAAATCAAGACGGTAGGATGATTTTTTTTGAGTTACAGTATTTTAATTTGATGTGATGCATTACTTTAAACGATTTGTGTGATAAAAAGAACTACTACTATCACTTTAGAGTACTTTGCAAATTGACATTTGTGATCAACGCAAAAATGATATTTACCATAGAACAAAAAGTTTTATCGTTGCATTAGTAATACTAATATTAATATCAGATCAATTTATTTGAGTACAGTTGTTTGATTTATTCAGTCAGTCACTTATCTTCGCTGCATAGACATTGTTACTCTTAGTATAAGTGTGGTTGGTCTGTAATAATAATGATAACAGTAACGCTAATAACATTTTCAGAAAACGAACGAAGGATATGGGGAAACAGTACATCAGATTGTCATTTGCAATATTTTTCTTAGGCTACATTCAATTTCCGTTACTTTTATTATATAAATGTGCTCAATTAAATAATATTATTGCCAGTAAAGGGGTGTGGGATTTTACTGAAATCGTAAACCGATATAAGTTAGGTTATGGGAAACCCGAAAGTAATGGATGACTACTTCGTCTCAGCACAGAACTCTTCAGATATTAACAGTGCTTGATGCTGTCCCAGCCCTTTAGAGATTAAGTGTTTACGTGAGAGACCAAAGTTCGTGAGTTTTACGCCTAAGTGCGAAGCCGTGGATGTCCACTGTTGAGGTGTTCCGTACTAGGACGAAACGGCCGTCCAGTGAACAGGATTTTCGCTGGTGGTTTTAAGTATATTAGTTCACGATTTCAATGATTAACATTACTTTTAGATTGTTTTTACAACAGAGAAATAATATTAATAACTTGTAGGTTGCTTTTTTCTGTAGAGAAATAAACATTTTTCTCTAGATTAATCAATAATTATTCGCCATACTCCCGATATGATCAGTTCTTTTTTCTCTATTTGAGCATCTCATTGGCCATCCCTCATTATTGATTTGTAAGTCTGCATGATGCTACATCAACCAATTGTAATTCGGTTAACCATCATTTCAAATTAAAAAATCCTAATACTCACTAGGAAGACAGATTGAGACTAAGCAGGAAATGAGTGGGTGTAGAAAAAACGACTCACGTGAAAGGCTAGTGACACGTTGCAATGTTTCTTCATTAAGGTAGGCTAAAAATAGATGTTCATGATTTCCCGTACGATAGATGAGGTAACAAATCAAAACGACCGTAGATTTTCAGATTATATTTTTTGGTGATGAAGTGACAGAAAAATAGACTGAAGAATTTGTTATCTCCCATAGTTCGCTTCCCAGTTATTCAAATAATCTAGATTGAGTTTACGTACGATTTCTCTAAGAGATGCTTATGAAAATGCCCAGCTTATTAAACCTATTTTCTTATTGATTACTAGATGGTAGACTATGTAAGCTTTGATGGATGACCGAATCTTGCCGACGAACTTTGTTCCATGGACAATAGGGAAAATCATTCCAACTTTACAGTGCAGTCTTTATGTGGCATTCGACGACTGACAGCAGGAATTCATAGAATTTAAAACTTTGAAGTTTCTCATTCAATAATAGCTTCTATCTCAATGTGATGTTTAACTAGGCGAATTAGATGAATATGTTCTTTAGTTCAGGTTCGTTTTTGAGTATTTATTTCGCTGAAACACAATCTTTTGAACAGAAGGGAAGTTAAGGTGCTTCACCTATTTGTAAAGCATATATAAAATATAAACCAAATTATATACTAAGAAATTTTTAAAAAAAAAACTGTACCAAGCGTAGTTGAGTTTCAATTGAGGAATATTGAACAAGTAGTAAACGAAGTAGTT